GAACAAGGGAGTCCGTGGCAAAGAGGGAGGAGTGATGTTCAGTCCCCTTAGGTCTTTCAAAACCAGGTCAAACGGAGACACAAACAGGCCGCGAGATATCCTCTAGGCCGGGGCGGGCCAAGTCGAAGTCCAGGCCCAAACCCAGGCCCTTGCCCGGCCAAGGCCGCTGGAAAGGCCGCTGGAAAGGCCATAGAGATCGTCAAGGCTGCTGGGGAGGCTCTGTAGATGTCACACCTGTGACACAAACGTGCGCTTTCTCTTTTCTTTCTTTTCCATTTAACCAGACTGAACCACAGCAATGCGTGGCCAGGTACAGCTAGTCTTAAATAAATATCTCAAGGGTTGCCACATAGAAAAGGGAGTGGACGTCTGCACAGTATTGCCCTAGAAAGCAGGACCAGAACAAATGGCTTAATAGTAGCACAGGCTGCCAAATGAAGTGTGAGTTATCCATCAGGCAGAGAAGGATGAAGTTGCTTTAGGGCAGGAGTTTTCAAATATGATCAGCCTGCAAAATCTTATTTTTTAAAAAAATCTTACAGCTCCTGATCATGAAGCAAAGCTATAGAAAATTCGATGTGTTTGAATGAACTTTTTCCTCCTTTAGTTTATCATCAAGTCCTCTCAGAGCAGTTTGAAAAATCCTGCTCTGGGAGATCCTGCACTGAGTAGGGAGTTAGATCAGATGACCTTCATGGTCACTCCAACTCTATGATTCTTTGATTAATTTGCGTTCCTAGATGGCCATTTAAAAATTGTTACATTTTCAGTACAAAAAAAAGCATCTTAAGGCCATGAAGACTTGGTTATGCACCCAGATTGGGGCCCCAGGTATGTTAAGGACCCAATTGCTTACCTATATTAACATCCATGGTTAGAGTTCTAGTTGGTTCCATATATATTTGATTTGAATTGTTTTGTTTTGATGTTCCCAGAGTCACTTGTTGTGATAGTTAGAAATCTGTGATTAAAGTCCTTGATGCTAGTTCTGTCCTGAAGCTAAAACTTGGTATCCATAAACTTCAACGAATGTCTTTTCAAATAGCTAACTTTGCTCTGACAAACCTCAGATAAATTGCTGCCTCTACTAATCAGAGACACAGTCGTGTTATTCTCTTCTGGTGGATTTTTATTTAGGAAACCTAAGACCATTATTATTAAGTTACCCTTTAATACTCTTTCTTGTGAATACATGAGGGGGAAAAAATCAATACTGGAATATAAGACGCTCAATACAATTGTTTGCTCTTTCATAGAACTGTTTTCCTTTATGAGGGAGTGGCAGTGCTATTTCTTGGGTCTTGGTTCCATAAATCGTTCTGATTCTATAATAAAGTACAAGTCCTTGTAATTTATAACGCCTTATGTGATTCCTAATATTCATAATACTCAACAGCAACTATTTTTCCTTTTTGATTACTTTGTTGTCTCTTCCTCCTTTTCAACTCTAGTGAATATCTTTTCTTCTCTCTCCTCCCCTGTGTTCTTCTCACTGGTATTTATGAATAACATTTTGGCTATGAAATGAGATGGCAAGGTCTGCTACTTAGGGTGTGGACAAAAGGAATGGAAGGCAAGGTAGATGTTGTTAAAATGAAGACTTGGCAGACAGAGAGGGAATCCAGCTGGGCTGGTTTTGGAAAAAAAAATCTTCTCCCTTGGGCCATATCATATATCACACCACTGACTTGGAGTAAAAATGAGAGCATCTGACCTCACCCTTCTTCGCTCCATTTACTTCCCTTCCCTGCTGCTGCAATTCTCTGACCTGCTTATTCAGTATAGATTTATTTGGCCTGCAACCAAGCAGTTAATTTTACTTTTCCACAGTTACTTACAAATCCATTGCATTCCTCATGAATTAATGTATTGTTTTTATCAAAGCTGCTACTAGTGGTGTGTTGAGCATGAAATAAAAAAAAAAAGAATGCATTTGTGTGGGCATCATATCTTTATTCAGAATTGGATCTGGTTGCAACTTTCTAACCTACAAGAAACCTGATTGCATCTTCCATCTTTTATCTTCCTCAACTCAGAGGAAATACCTTATTAATCTATATAACAGCAAAAAGGCTTAGATTCCACAAGAATGTTAAGATTTTGGCAGACTGAGGCAACCCTAAAACACTGGCACTTAACTTCAATTTGATTTTCTAAGCAGTTGCAAAGATGAAGTGAGCAAAGAGCTAACTAAAGTGTCACTGACAGAAAACAAAGGGCAAATATGAAAGAATAAGGATGTGAGTTCAAATTTGAATCTACCCCATTGCAATTATTTTCCACCCTGATTACAATTGCAAAATGCATTACACTTTTTAGAGTAATGTAAATTCTTAATAGGGAAGAATGATCCAGAAGATCTACTGAATGTAAATCATGACTGACTGGCCAGAGTTTCATTGATAAAAATCACTTGTATTTACTCCAAACTAGATGTATAGAAACAAATGCAGTAGCAACGGTAGTGTTTTGCAATGATATTTGTGGGAGGTTTATGACCTTGCGCATTTTGAAGAAGTGAGTAGAACTCTCCATCATATAAACCCCACTAGGTATGGACTTACTAATTGGCCCCTCTTGGTTGGTTAGAATAGCCAAGGAGAGGACAATATAGCTAAGTTAGATCCTAGCTATAACTAATGCCTTCTGGCAGGAGGGTGATGTTCCAGTAGTCTTGAAAGAATAATCATATGGTAGTCCTATATCCTCCACCACCCTTTGAGAAGAAGATTGTCAAGAAAGTGTTGGAACAACTGTTAGAAAGGATTTTGGAAGAAGTAGATTGTCTGGACTCATGGCAGTTAGAATTCAGGGCATGGGATATGGGGCAGCACAAGAAAGATTATCTTCACTCGCTGTTTCAAAACTGTTGACCACAGTATCCTTCTGGAGCATTTCTGACGGTTGGAAGTGGGGGGCACCATAATGTGATGGTTCTTTTTCCAGAGTGGGCAGATCCAATAAGAGTGGGACATGTTGAGCCCTCAAATGCTCCAAAATGAGGTGTACTAGAGAGGTGCACTAGTCTTTCTCATACTGTTTTAATATTTACATAAAGTCATTGGAAGGTAACCTGTCAATTTGGGATGAAGTATCATCAATATGCTTTAATTTTTTGTATTCTGCTTAAGGTGCAGAGATTCAGTTGATTGTGGCAAGTTAAACATGTGTTTTAATGTGTGTGAGAGAGAAAGACGGAGGGAGAGATTGAGAGAAAAAGAAAGGAAAGAAAGAAAGAGAAAGAAAGAAAGAAAGAAAGAAAGAAAGATAAGACAATATCAAGTTATATAGTGCCACCTTGCATTGAATGGGAAATGTAATAGATGGCTTGGGCCAATGCTTGGAGACTCCAGTGTTGGAAAATGGGGGAAAAACTAAATCCCAATCCAAGCAAGGCAAGGGAGCTATTAATTGAGAAAGCTACTGACTCTAGAACAATACAATAAAAGAGCAAACTCATAATCTAGAGGTCCTCTTGGAATCATAGCTCTTGCTAGAGGAGCTGTTGAAGGCAGAGGCCAGGAAAGCCTTTGACCAACTTCATCTGATATTCCAGTTGCAGCCTTTCCGAGAACAGGACAAACTGAAAATTTTCACTCATATCCTTGTTACCTTTTGCTTAGATTGCTGTATTTTGCTTAGATTGCTGTATTTTGAAGTTTGAAGACTACTCAGACGCTTCATTTGGTGCAAAATGAAGCTACGTGTGTGCTTACTGGTCGATCTCAACCTTGCCTTGCCACATAACATTTACTGTAGGAGCTGGATTAGTTACCAGGTTATTTCCAAGTGTGTTTTCCATCTGTGGCTTAGATCCTTGGCATTTTGGAGATCACCAGTCCCAGGTAAATTCAGTTTATCCAATCCAGATAAATAATACTGAAGTAACCAACCCAACAGAAAGTACAGTGGGATAAGACACAGAAGTGAGCATTCTCAGTGGGGACATTCTCATCCTCTGGAAGAGTCTATCCACAAGGTAATGGGGGCTGCTATTCTCCTGGCCATCTGGAGACATATCAGGATAATTTTCCTGGAAGATCTTTGAGATTGAATACCTTGAGCCAATGCTGGAACGTGAGAATTGTTTAATGTGTTGTTGCATATTGTTAGAATGCAGTTATTGAAGTGATGTGTTATGTAAATGCATGAATATTCAGATTTCATATTTATAGCTGGTTGTAATTCTTTCTTCAACATTCTAAACTAGCATTAACTAATTATTAGACTGTAGGAGAAAAGGGGAGGATTGAAGTTAAAATTTACTTTTGACTTTCTAGTGAAATTGCAAAGACTCAAAATAGGGATTCTAATCCAAAGGTTAATCGTTCTCTTAGCCACAGTACTACATTAGTTTTCCAAAATAACTTGACCATTCTGGGGCCTTCTTAATAAATAGGACCATATATTTAAACCCTAAATTATTTATTTAGTCTGCTTGCCTGTCTAACAGACTATTTTATATTTCACCTATTTATGTATAAGAAATCATGAAGATGAGATGTCTCTCTAGCAGATTTTTTATGCCTCGTATCTGCAGGAAGACTGGGCACAAGGAACAACTGCACATTTGTGGTCAGTTAGATTAGCATTTACTGTGGAGACAGGTCTGTTGGTGTACTCAGTGCTGAATAATACATTCCTTTTGCATATGGTGTGATGTGTGTTGCTAGATTAGTGGTTGTGCCAAATGCAGAGTGCAGATTAAACTTGGCAAATCAATACTCATCTAGTTTTGTGCTAATATGGTGAATCACCGTTTGAATGCATGGTGTCTGGTTGCACAGTCATTTGATTCAGTGTTTGCAGTTTCCCTAGTAACATTAGTGTGGTCAGGCTAAAAGGATGGGTGGTTTGGCTTTAAGCCTTTCTTTGATTCTTCTTCCTGGTTTATTCTTTGGTGTTCCTAGTCATCAAGCAGCTCCCAAAAACTGGAAACTGGGGTAGCTTGGCTTTACATTAATCCTATAAAGTTAATCCAACTAAATCACTTTTGCCCCTGTCTTTCTTGTTTTGAAGCAAGTTTACTTTTAAAAGCACAAAATATGAGAGAAGGACAAGTATAAAACCGCTAAAGTAATGGTCTGATTTAAAATGGATTAAGTGGAAATACATACTGCTACATCTTGACTCCTATTACTAGAAAGGGGCTACGTACTTGTTAACTATTTTTACCAGAGACAATCTATAAGATGGGTTAGATCCAGAAATACAGTGCATAATGTAACTCAGGTCGATATACTGACCTGTACATTATACCTTCTGAAATGAATCATTAATGAACAAACTTGCATATTTTGGTAAGGAAGAGACCGGGGAAATGGAAAAACAGTAACATATTGCTTCAATTACAAGAGACCTTTTTCAGAATTTATTTCTAATTCTGTAGATGTTCATACTACATAGATATAGGGATAAATTAAGCAAGGTGAATAATTTAAGCTTCTAATTTTTCCCCTTTTCTGTGAGATGTGTTACCATCTCTGTGCTATCTAAATTGACATTCAGATTGGTAATATTCTAATACAACTAGAGAAAGCTAAGATGCTTTCAGGCTAGCTTCATGAAGTGATATGGGAAAAGATTGCTTGCAGTTAGGTTGCCTTATAATTCAAGTGCATACATTTCTAATATCAAAAAACCATTTTTGGATACTGATCAAGTCTCTGTCCTATTCTCCTCTCTCTTTCTCTTGCAGATTGACTTTCCCAGCTCATCGTTTGAAATTAAGTTTACCAGCCCACCAGCAGCAGAATTCAGTCCTAAGTACAACTTCAACAGTCTCTTTGAGGGAGACCAGCGGAAACTAAAGGAGGTTATGCAGAAGGAATCACTTTATTGGTGAGAGGATGGGTTCTGATCCTGATCCATGTCCACCCAGGCTGTTGATGAAAGACAGTCTGAAATATTCATATTTTTGAGTAAACCAGATGACCTCAGAGAAGGATGGTTGAGTGGAAAACTGCCACTCCAGCATAAGTCCTGCCTCCTTACCCAGAAGCATCCATTCTCTGTTCAGAAGGAAGTGGCAAGCAAGTGCTATCCACCTTCCTGTGCAAGAAGTGGCTTCAACTGCCCTTTGTTTTTGCCAATAAAAAAACACAGGTGCCAAGTAATTTTTAATAAAATGTGTTATAGTAGTTAGAAAAGTTGCTGCCAAATCCCTTCAAAAATTTTTGCTACCATAGGCTAACATGAGGCCAAACTCTTAAGCTCCTCATTTTACCTCGGAAACCCTTCTCCCCAAAAATAGATCTTGAAACATAGCTCAGAAGATGCCATCAGGCAGCTAAAATTGCACATTTCTCCTTAAGACAATGTGTCCATCTTGCTGTTAACATGTTTCCCTTTTCTGTCTAGAATTACTAAACAAGGCTAGTTAGCTATTTAGGTGGTTTGTGTTTCTCTTCACAGTTAGCCTCAGATATTATGGGAACAGTGGGGCACAGTTTTGTATGTTTCAGCCTTCTCAACCTGCAGAACTCCATACATTTTGATCTAGAATTATCACCGTCTTCAGCAAGCACAGCCAACAAGGACGTTTATCTGCAAACCAGCATTCAGAAGCATGCAGAGTTGAATGGGTTCCATTCTTTCACTAAGTATGCTTCCTTTCCACAAAATATCTGTTCAAGAAATCACTTCTTCCACCTGCCAACTTTGGTTTCAGTGGAACTAATCAGCCCTTCTTAGTTTTATAGCATCTTTTTCCCTATAGGTAGGAAGATCAGGTGACATGAACTGCCCACGGGACTACTGTTTTTACTTTACCCAAAAGCATGTTGTGCATTCAATTGGATCAGGCAGCAAGGGAGTTAATCCCATTCATTTTTTTTTCAGGGTGCATACTTTGGGAAAGAAACACCCATTAACAGGAAATCCAGACTTGGGCCATCAGTTGTCCCCTTTCATTCATGGAAGGAGGAAGATTATGATATATGTATATGTTGAGGCAATGATTTACAGAGTAACATAAGGTAAAAAGAGAAGTTTCCTATCCTGAGAAACATCTACGCTAAAAGCCCACAGTAAGAGTTCAAAAGGATAAAAGTGCAACAGAATTAAATTAAAAACTATCTATGAACCTATGCCAGTGATGGTGAACCTTTTGGGCTTGATGTGTCAAAAATTAAGACAATGCTTACCTTGAATTTGCTCATGTATCATACACCTCACCACCCAAAACCAAAGAGGTCTCTGTGGACTTTTTCTCCTCTGGACTCTCCTCTCCAGACTCTCTGGAAGTCACAAGAGAGGGCCCTGCTCTTTTGAGCCTCAGAAAATCATGTGGTTGGATGCCTCAGAAACTAGGTAAGAGCAAGTCCCTCTCACATGTGTTTCAGACTGCCTGGAGATCTGGTGTGCCAACAAAAATTTCATAGGCTCACCATTACTGGCCTATGTTCTGGTTTCATCAATCAGCAATGGAATTTGAAGAGAAGATTTTCAATATGGTGCCCTCCATATGTTTTGGAATTACAATTCTTGGAATTTCCAACCTTATTTTCAGTTATTTTGAGTTTTCAGTTATTGAGCATGGTGGCTGGGAATTCTGGGAATTGCAGTCTGAACATACTTGGAATTCCCCAGCTTGGGCCAATTTATAATCGTAGCCTTGAGTTATAGTCTCTGCACACATTTCTAACTTTTTTGCTTGTGGTGTGCTCTGTAGGTTTGGATGCTCTAGTGTTGCTCTATATTTAAAGGACCCTTCTTCTAAAAATTCCATTATTCCTTTACATGTTATTATTTTTATTACAACACACAATATTCTTCTTCTGTGGAACTTGTCTCTTAAAATGAGGTGAACCTGTAACAAGGGAGTTTTGTAATTAAAGGCAACAAGCCCTTCAAAGTTTAATAGCTCTGTGCCTCTTCATGTTAGACAGTCTGGTGCTGCAATTACATTTTTATTACTTCCCCTACCACCACCATTATCATAAATCAGGTTGGGGGGAGCAAGGGGGAAACAAGACTTAGAACAGTGGAAATTCAGTAGACGGAGTATTGTCTGCGCTATAAAAACTGAGTAAATGGAGGAGGCTATTATAGAGATAAGGGGTAGATTGGAAGCAACTACAGTCCCTGTTTCTCTAAGCTGTTAACTGAAATATCTTTTGGAAAGATTGTATTTATGCTAGGTGGTATGATCATATCCATTAATTTTTTACTATCTCCATAAATTTTTGCCACTATACTTGCAATGTCTCTATATTTTAAGTGGAAGCAATTGTTCAGTGGTGTAATGTGGACAAACTAGCCTTTCCTGATATTGCGCAGGAGGCAATCGAACATAATTTCCTGTCTGCTCTGGGTCATTGCTAGGGTGGGAGTTTCTCATGGGTGGGCAACAATTTCACTCTCCATCTTTGTTCTGGCCCCAGTGAATTAATTTCCTGGACACAACTAAAGAACACTTGTGGGAACAGAGCTAGCATTATTATATGTGGTTGCCCTTCCTATCTAGCCTTGCCAAGGCCTCTACAAGCTGCTTCCCCTCTTTTTCAAGTAACAATGCAGTTGGGTTGAAATAGATGGATCTGGATCCTAACCACAGCCTATTCTAACCATGAACTCCCTCCAGAGTTTCCCTGCCTTTACAGCACAGAAAGGCTGGAAAACAGTCTCCACCCCAGGAAACTGTTTCCATGAGTTTCAGTTGGAATGTGTTGAGAGAGATGGCCTTTCCCTCACTGCTGAATAGCCACTGGTCAGAGTGGCTGTTTAAGCTTCGGTCCCTTCCCCCAAAGGAGGTCACCGATTTCAATAAAATGTGCATATACTAGTTGATATGCAGGGATGCAGAGATAGAAGCCATTATTTTAATTACAAAATGCATAAAATGTATCAGTCCATAAGTACTGCTTTCAGTGGGATTTGATTTGGGCCATATAAAAAATATCTACGAGCACTGGCAGAACATGTTTTCATCTTCACTAAGTACAAACCATTGCCAGTCACCTAAAATGAGGATGAACAGATCTTCTGAGATACAATCTCCTGCAGGTTTTGAGTAATCCTGACCTTCATACAGGAAATGTAACCTATGTTACTCCATTCAAAAGCATGTTGTTGAACTGTCAGCATGAAATTGTGGAAAGCACAAGGCAGAGTTGTATGCAAGACCAGAGATTGTTCACTCTATGGAATGACCCCCATTACATGTAGTCCTCAACTTAGAACCACAATTGGGAGAAAAATTTCCATTATAAGTTGTTGTAGTCATAAATTGAGTCAAACCTATTTTACAACAATTTTTACGGCGGTCAGTAAGTGAATCACATGGTTGTTAAGCGAATCCAGATTTCTTGAAGGCATTTTTTTTTGCCAGAAATCTTCAAAAAAAAAAAAAAAGGTTGCAAATCATCATCGAGTGACTGCAGGATACTGCAACCGGTTAGTTGCCAACTGGTAACTTTGGGATTGGGATCACACGACACTCCTGCAATTAGTGTAAGTACAGGTAGTAAGTCACTTTTTTGAAGGACATCACAAATTTGAACCTTTGTTAAACAAATGGGTGGTAAGTCGAGGACTCCCTGTACTTGGAAGCAGCGTCTTCGTGAACTTTGTACATAATGTGATTGACTGCAGCTTTTTTCTTCAGCAGCCCTTTGGGAAGACTGTCCTTTTAATCCCATTAGATAGGAGAGGGAGTTGCTTCATGGTCTCTCATTAGCCATCTGATCCTGTCTTTTTTCTTGGAGAGAAAATGATTTGGCTGCTAATTGAAATAGAATAGGATATTTCCACATGAATTTGCTGCTCTCTGGTGGTTACACATGGCAACATCTTTGTGATCCTGTGTGAACCAATCTCACAGTATTTTTCTGCAAATAAAAATTGTATGATCAAATGGCATAAGGGCTTTATATATAGTCTTTTGGTAGCATATAACATTAAGATCACCTACAATGCATGTCACATTTTCTCAGTATGATGCAGAGATTAAAAAAAATAAGCCAATCCCTTCTCACACATTCATAATCTAATAAATGTGATGGAGAAGAGAAGAGAATGGGGTAGCAACACAATACAAAAACAGTTATTGAAGTTGTAGGAGCCAACAGTCTAATCTTGACAGGTGAGTCTGTGTGCTTTTAATCTAAAAGCAAACCAAATATTCATTTTGTCCATCAGACAATGTCTAATTGCATAGTTGTGAAAAAATTCATTATTTGCTTCTCATGTGTCTTTCTCTTATGCCAGGCTAACTGATGCAGACAAAAAGAGATTATGGGAGAAGCGTTATTACTGCCATTCTGAGCCGGGTTCGCTGCCTCTGCTGCTTGCTAGTGCCCCAAGCTGGGAGTGGGCTTGCTTGCCTGACATCTATGCCCTGTTGAAACAATGGACATACATGAATCATCAAGATGCCCTTGGACTCTTACATGCAGCGTAAGTAAGAAATGTTGAAAGTGCACAGTGAACAAATAGGGCGATCCTTGTTCACACTGCATTTTGATTAGTGAGATCTTCCACCCTTGATTTTCCACCCATCTCCTCAATGCTGGCAGTTGGATTAATTTGTTCTATACTACTTCCTTAAGCTGAATCCTACCTTAATTCATTTATAGTAAAATGTATTGAACTGAGTGGAATAGGTGATGAATAAATGTACAAGGTCTGGTTATCCACGGGACTGTCTGGCTCTTGTCATTTCTGCCCGTTATAGGATCTGATGGAGTTGGCATGCTCTAGATTCCATCAATTAAACAGTGCCATCTGATAGGAACCCAGGAAGTTGCACTACAATCTGTGTAGTGTCTGCCCTCTCGAATGAACCCCCCCCCCAGAACATAGCACCTTGACCTTATTCAAACAAGCCCTTAAAAGCTAGCTCATCACCAGGATTAGAGTAAATGGTGGGCCCCTTGTGTAGATGGTTGATTTGAGAATTTTGTATTATTTTTCTGGATAGTTGATTTTTGTATTGCTTACATATTACTATTTTTAAATTACGTACTACAGTATAGGCTACAGCAGAGGAATCCCATCTTCTTGGTTGTGAGATTGTGAAAGCATGTTGTGGTTGCAATAACAGCTCTGAGGGGAGGGTCTTCATGAAATAGTTGCCATGGTGGCACAGATTGCTGTAGGAGATGGTATCATATTGGAGGTTCAGTGGGTTATAGATATTGTTGAAAATGATTCTCAGTTTGGGGCTTGGACATTTGTTATAAACTCTCTTACTGATATGGCTACAGGTTCCCAGATCAGGAAGTGAGAAGGACGGCTGTACAGTGGATTGATTCCATAACTGATGCTGAGCTATTAGATTATCTGCCCCAGTTGGTACAGGTGAGTCGATGTGCTTATTGAAAGAAGTGCCGTGGCTTTAGCTGGCAAATTATTGCTATCAATTTGAGAACATGCCTACGAATGGCTTGTAACTCAATACAGGGTTATGTTTAGCAAGGAAATTCCTATGCTAGAGTCTTTTTGTTCTCATAGGGTAGCATTTCTCTAAATGATTAGGAATGTCATAGCTTCCAAAATTTTCAGGATGGTTGCTATGCTGAGAAATCAGTTGTAATAAGCTTATTTTGACTAAATAAGTCAGCTAAAAACCAGATATTTTTATAAGTAGATATTTTTATTAGTAGATCAGGGGTGTCAAACTCGATTTCATTGAGGGCCGCATCAACATTGTGGTTGCCCTCGGGGGGAGTGTGGCCGACTGGGTGGACATGGCCAGAGTGGTCATGGCTGACTGAGTGGGCATGGCCGGGGTGGGCATGTCCACCTCGACGTTGCTCGCGTCACAGCACCTGTGGGGGCCGGGCAGGGTTTGTGGAGCAGTGGGCGGGAAGCTCATCCTGCAGAGTGAGGTGAGGCAAGGCGGGGCAGAGCAGGGTTGCTGCCACCATGGGGCGAGGCAAGGTGAGGCGGGCGGGGTGACTGCTGCCGGACACCATCGGCCCCCACTGGTCATCTTGGCCCACTCGACGTGGGGAGTGCATTCCCCTCGTACACCCAATGTACTGCCAGCAGCTTGACCAGCGGCGACCTGCTCTCCAACCGCAAGCAAAAATAGGATGGAATAGGCACGTCTGGCAGTCCACATCATGTGCCCCCCCTGACTCTGCCTGCTGCCAGTGCCGTGCCTACTGCTGGAGGGCTGGCCTAGTGGTCGCAGCAAGCTGTGGAGCCTGCTGTGCGTATGCCTGGGTGGGCCGGTCCCTTGCTGTCTTTGGGGCAGCCCTGCAGGCCAATATCTGACCCACGGGTCTTGTGTTTGACATGTCTGAAGTAGGTCATATCTTTCAGATCATACTTTTATATTCTGCACTGAATTCAGAACACATTTTGTTTGGGGCTTTTGCTTTCATAGTTAATAGTTTTCAGTTTCCTTCTTCCATGCTCTGGCACAGAATGGGCAAGTTCACAAGTAGCCCTCATTTTGCAGTGCCAGATCATTCCTAACAAAGGTCAGCAGTGAAATAGAAAAATTTAGCTTCACGGGTTTATTTTTACTTTTGAGGCTGGAATAAGATAGGTGGGGAGATATTATGCCTCTGCAAGATAAACTATATTGATTTCTACTCTGACCTCCTCCAAGGCTGTGATAGATTAAAAAAAACACGTTCAGTTCTCCCCAGCTGGAAAGATCTTGAGAACATTTCCTCTCCGCCCCTGCAGCCAAAATAGATTTTAAAAATTAAAATAAAATAAAGCTTCTTTCCACTAAGAAGCGATTGTCTTCTGTATGGTACATCTGGATGTACCATATTCCCACAGCTATAATACAGATTGGATTTATTCCTCCTACAGTTGTTAAAATGACAAAGGTAGTCTCTGTGTGAGTATGTATGTATAAATATTTTTTTCTTTTTACTGTGCTGTAACAACTCTGGTTGTATAGTCATAAAGGTGCTATCATGTTTTAAGTGTCCCCTCTTTTTAAGTGTAAAGAGTAAAGTAGTAATAGCATTACATTTATGGATGTTTATGAGTGTCTCCTTGGGGACTTTCCAAGCAATTTATTGGGGAAAGCAATTTGTATTTTCTTGCATTGTGCATCACTGCCATATTTTTCTGTTTCCATGCTTCTGTAGCTTACTGCAGATTTTATAGCTTGTATCTCATTTTTTTTCCTAAGAAACCAATTTGTTTTCTTTTTCTAGGCTCTCAAGTATGAATGCTACTTGGACAGTCCCTTGGTGCGGTTTCTTATGAAACGAGCCATCTGTGATCTAAGGATCACCCACTATTTTTTCTGGTAATATTTCTGGTGGGCATAATGAGGGTATACGGAAAGAATGAGACACATAAGAGAATAACTGCTGCTAGGAAAAAAGGAGACTCTAATTGCATTGTTGCTAGTAGACTACAATGTTGTTCCATACTACTTTTTTATCCCTTAACGGATATTGCCCACTAATTATTAGGCTTAGTTCTTTGGTAAGATTTTTATCTATATATATAATACATAGGGATGTTTCATATAATTCCTGTTCTGTGGATTTCTTGATGGTCTTTGAATTTGGTTATTTACTTGCAAACATTTTATTACCCAAGTAGGTCATATCAGTATGAGTGATGATGAGGCATGTTATAGTTTGCCCTGATAATTTGGAGAGGGGCGTAGTATCTACAACCCTAAACCATGAAAAATAGCAGAACAAATTACTGTATGTAAACAGGCAACAAACAGACAACAAACCTCATGCAGACTTACAAGTTCGTTAGTGACTGAAGTTACAATGGCACTGAAAAAAGTGACTTATGACTTTTTCACATGACCATTGCAGTATTTTCCTGGTCATGTGATCAAAATTCAGACACTTGGCAACTGAGTCATATTTATGATGGTTGCAGTGTCCCAAGGTCATGTGACTACTTTTTGCGACCTTATGACAAACAAGTGGGGAAGCCAGATTCACTTAACAACTGTGTTACTAACTTAACAACAGCAGTGATTCACTTAACAACTGTCTTCATGAAAGCAAAGTTGATGACCATAGCAAAGGCCAAAGGACCTTGAGTAAATTGCTTCTTCAGAATCTCTACAGAGAAGGAAAGAACAGAAGACCACCCACATGTGCTCCAGATGCTGATCCTTGCAAGGAGAACAGGACATGGTTTATAGGCAATTTCACTTGGAACCTGCCTATTAACCATTTTAAAGTTATGAGAGATCTTCAAAATGACAAGTTTAAAAAGTCACCAAATGATTTAACTTGATCTCTGAACAAAGAAAAATTAATTGCAAGCTGAAGATCAGAAAGAATTTGAAATAAATAGCAAAAAGCTAAGTAAGTTTTTGAACTAAGAAAGTTAAAAAACAGTTAAGGCTCCAGTTAAATTTGAAATACTGAGTTTTGCTATAATATTTTGGAATTAACTACCGTATAAAAAATAATTGGCTTTTCTTGGAAGCTAGAATTTAGTAGCTATAGTATCAATAGTGTCAGTAATAATGTCTGATTATATGGATAGATTATGTCCAAAACATATCAATGAGGGAATGACAGATGTGGAGCAAATTTTATCTCACAAATTTTATTTCACAAAAGGGACATGTTAAAGCCTTGAAGAAGTCTGTGCAATGAGACAAACAAGAATTGAAGAGAAATCAAATCTTACGATAATATTTGAATAAATTAAATATAAGACTGTTAGACATAAAATGAGGAAATATAAAGTTGGTTTATTTGATCAAGGTTAAAATAAGCCATTTATTTGCCAAATTCTGGCAACCCTTTATGGACTTTTTTGCTGACATCAGGATTGAAAAGTTAATGTTTATTGATTTGCTTATACAGTAAATAAAGGATGTAATATGGGATTTAGAGATACTGGTAAATTTATTGAAGAATTGTCTATATGTCAACTTTGAAAATGAGTGTGGCTGCAGCCATTTTCCCTACCCTGCAGCCACGCTCATTTTCAAAGTTGGTTGGAAGTCACTTTTCTATATATTTCTTTTCTCTTCATCATATTCTTTCTTTTCTTTCAATTTTTACTTTTTCCTACTATTTATTCTTTAGTTTATATTAATTTCTTCTATTGTAATCAAAGTCCTTAATTAAAATTATATTCTTTTTTAAAAAAAGAAGAGAGTGCTAAGACCTCCACAGTTCAACCCTGAGCTACATATATTCTCTTCTATAGTAATTCTTACTCACTTTGAGTTCTATCTTAATGGAATCTGACAGTTTACTAAAAAATCTTCCTTCTTCCTTCCTTGGCAGCTTGAGAAGCATTTGATCAAATACCTAAGCAGTTCCAGAACACAAAATATTTAATGCTTTTAATGGCTCTTTGAATCTTCCTCATTATTCATTTTTATATTCTATTATGCAAATGTTTGGAAAACCTTTGATCTTCCATTTTCACTTTCTTTTCTTATAACAAATAAAATGTGATTTCAGAGTAAGCCATTGAAAGGGAGCATGTTCACTTAGTCTGCATAGGAGAAGAGAGCTTTTGCTTAGTTACTTCTACTAATGTGGATAATTTGAAGTATGGATCCATTCCACACAAACATTGCTATTTCCAGTGACAAAGTTTCTGTATTCCTAGGCTTCTGAAAGATGGTTTGAAAGATTCTCAATTCAGCATTCGTTACCAGTACCTGCTAGCAGCTTTGTTATGTTGTTGTGGAAAGGGTCTGCGAGAGGAGTTTGACCGTCAATGCTGGCTTGTTAACACTTTGGCTAAGCTGGCTCAACAAGTCCGTGAGGCTGCTCCATCATCGCGACAGGTATATGGGTTTATGGTGACTGGAGGAAAGAGCAGAGGGGAATAAGAATGATAGACTTAATGTGCAATAGTGAAAGACTACTTATTTAACAAATAGTAGAAATGATGATGGAAGAAAAGGAAATCATTATCTAAAGAATTATCTAACTTCCTCATAAGAAGTTAAGATATGTTTCAACTTCTTTTACAAGGCAGTATGCTATAAATGATGTAATAGTACTGGCTGATCAAGATGTATACCCTGCATAATGTTCCCTCTACTAAGATACGTCTTAATGTTCTTACCTATGTCTATAGGCATCTAGTACAGTATGCTTTGGTCTTGGTTAACTGCAACATGGAAACAGGATCCTAACTTCTTTCCACTGTCTTAACTACATACATTCTAAAAGATTGCAAGTGCTTTAGAAGCAGAAGCAGAAATTGTATGGTAGATCCAAGTATTAGTTTACTAATACTTGAATACAAATTTTAATTTGCTACTATTTGGGGATCAAATGGGCCTTGTTATTCACAATGGCTTCATTTCAACTGAACAACTGTGGATGACAAGACTATGGAAAAAAACCACTTTCCACATGCACAAGAGTCGATTCACAATTTGGCATGTGTGTAACTTAGTTCAAAGCTAGGAATATATGAAATTGCTCATCAAGAGTAATAAGGCCTGGTCTGTATTTTCCAGCTGTAGATACATGAAATTACAACTAATGAGTTCACAAATAATAAGGGCTACTTGTAAATTATGTTAAGATTTTTTTTTTCAAAGTTGTCCATACATCTAATTATTTAGAACTTTTCATGATGTTGTGGCTTGTTTTAGCCAAGTTTCACATCGTATTACTAACAATGCTCCCTCAAGCTAATGACAAGAGCAGACACTTTATGGAGAAATGCTTTTTAGTGGTGAAAAATGACCTGTGTTGAAAAGGGACTGGAAAGGGACTTGTAATAAGCTGCAGTTAAGAGCTTACAGTTTTTGTTTTGTTTTTCCTTTAGGCCATCCTTCGTGAGGGACTAGAGGATGTCAGACAGTTCTTCAATGTCAATGGCTCCTGTCGACTGCCGCTTAGCCCCAGCCTGCTGGTGAAAGGAATTGTGCCCAGAGTATGTTGTTGACTGGTTGAAATGCTTTTATTTGTATACTGTGGAAATGGGATTAGTTCTTCCTTCAATATCTTAGGAGTCACTCACTGGGACTCCATGTGTTTCGTATGCCAAAACCATCCAAGCTCCAGAGTAGTATTTCTATAACCAGTCTTTAGGTATAGTTACTTCCTTTTTGTCACACAACAGATTACATAATAATTTGCTATACAACATCTTACCTCTTTAGTATGAAAATAATTGGCTTACATCACTTAACCTACCCTGCTATTTTTGGTGGCTTTGTTTTATTTGGGCAATAGTAATATCCACAAGGAATAACACAATACCTTTGATCTGATCCTAAATCTGCATTGCATAGTAATTCTTCTCCCAATGCTAGGGATCATCAATCTCCCATATTGCTATGATGCTTGATTGTAACACTAGTTATTCTGATCACCTCCCATTTTTGGTCTCCATTTGTCTTTGCTTGCAGGATTGTTCTTATTTCAATTCAAATGCTGTCCCTCTGAAGCTCTCTTTCCAGAATGTAGACCCCCTTGGGGAAAATATCCGTGTTATTTTTAAGGTAAGCATTAGGCTGGAGTAATTTAGCTTTTAAGGAAGATGATTGTTCGATTAAAATTGGAAGGCAGGGAAAATTTTGTCTACTATAGGGTGCTTGAGGATTTGATTATGGTTGGGATGGAGACTGAATATCAGGTACAATGGGAAGTTGTTCTCTAACACCAACTACAGGTAGTACTTGACTTATGAGCAGAATTGAGCCCAGAATTTTTGCTAAATGAGAAATTTGTTAAGTGAGTTTTGTGCCATTTTATGACTTGTCTTGCCATGTTTGTTAAGTGAATCATTGCAGTTGTTAAATTAGTAACCCGGTTGTTAAGTGAATCTGGCTTCTCCATTGAAGGTCACAAAAGATGGGCGCCTGACCCTGGGACACTGGAACAGTCATAAGTATGAGCCAGTTGCCAAGCATCTGAATATAAATCACGTGACCATGGTGATGCTGCAACTGTCATAAGTGTGAAAAATGGTCATAAGTCACCTTTTTCCGTGCCATTGTAACTTCGAACGGTCACTAAATGAACTGTTATAAGTTGAGGACTACCTGTACTAAGCTGGAATACATTCCCAACTGTTGACTTTGCAGTGCTGTGTTCCTGTAATGGTTGGAGTCAAAGCAGAGAGGGAGCAAGGCTAACTATACACATTGCTATATTCACAAGTGTATCTGTGCAGTTATAACCAAGCATATATCCGGACTTTCTCTTGTCCATGTGATGCTGTTTTCAAACTTTCCACCCACGACCAGTTTCAGAGCAACTGTTAGAGAAGTGATCATGATTCTGGGGTAAGTTGGGGTAGACACATTTTTTAAAAATGAATAGGTGATTTAGGTTACATTGCATGTTTTTAAAAGAGGAAAGATGTCTAATAATTTTCTCCTAATATCAAGTATTTAAAATTGTAAATAGTCTGCTTTATATTGTGCTTTTGTTTTCACAGTGTGGAGATGATCTTCGCCAAGACATGCTAACTTTGCAAATGATTCGCATAATGAACAAGATCTGGGTGCAAGAAGGTTTGGACATGCGAATGGTCATATTCCGTTGTTTTTCTACCGGCCGTGGTCGGGGTAAGCCTAGATCCAAGTATGAAACATTTTCAGTTTCTTTTATCTTCCTCACCTTTATTTTCAGACTGATAGGATTATTGGGGAAAAGTGACTTCAAGATCAGAACAGAATTATTATCTCTTTGAGCAAACTGAGAATACAGAAACTGTCTTGCTAAATTAGTATACAGGTATTAATTGCCCAGTATGTCTATTCTTCCTTTCTAAGGCATTGCTATAGTTTTTACTCAAAATCAATCTATTGCTGCCACATTATAACAATGGGTTTATGTTTCCACTCTTATTTCCTTATCTGTTTTCTATTATTCTTTTCACTGTTTTATTTGTTTCAAGTTTTAAAATGTGTTTGGAAATGCTTAGTGTTTTCAGTATTATAATTACTAGGCAGATTAGAAGTATCAATAATAATTATTTGTACACAGTATCTGTTAATCAGAATGAAATGTCCCTAAATATGGAAGGTTTTTTCTTAGTTGTTTTATCCATTGAAGACTATATAAGAGTTTATTTCAATAACGTCTGATAGAAAATTATTCCAGTAAGATGATGCTGAGCACCTGCTTGAGTTTATGACAGATGCATTATTTATCTGCAGCAATATCTTTCTATAGATATCTTACAAGTGTGCCTACAGTTTAGCAGCCCAAGAGATGATTAAATAATTTAGTCTGGATTTTGAATCTGAATCAACAGCTGCTTTCTTAGCAAAAAAGAAAGGTTGTCATTTTTTTTTGAGCTTCTAAATTGAGGCTCTGTTGATACACAAGAAAGAGCTTGATAACCTCCAGTCCATGTGCTACCTTTGATAGCCTCCTGTGAAGCCCAGCAGAAGCTGACTAGGTGATTATGGTCAGTCATCAGACCAACCTACTGTTTGTGGGGAGAGATAGAAGGGAACACTGTATATATTGCATCAAACTCTTGAAGAAAAGCTGGGACAAAAATCAAATACAATTGCTTGCCTACATTCTCCTTGGTGGATGAGCAGTTATCTGAAAGCAATTATCTGTTCCATTATAGCACAGTTATGAGGGAAAGTTTTGTGGCTTCCTCTTTCCTTCCAGCAGCCTCTTGGTTTCCTGATGCTAATGATATTGAGAAACTAACAGTCTTGGACAGAACAGCTGAGACAGAGGAGAAATGTTGCCCTCCTTCCAGCAACTGTTTAAATTACAATTTCCTGCCATCTGGGTAATCTTGGAAGTTCCTTTCCTCTAAATTATCTATTAAAGACTGCCTCAAAGATGTCTTTATACAGTATGTGAATCTGACCTCCCCCCCAGGCAGATTTTATATATGGCCCTGAGATGGTTGTGCATTCCTTCCATTTAATTAAAAACATCCACCTAGATACCATTGGACTCTATAGCCCAAGATGTCTGAATGGCAATAAGAATATCTTTCCTCTCCTATAACCAACCTCATTTCTATCAATCATGCATTACAGGTATGGTGGAAATGATCCCCAATGCAGAAACTTTGCGAAAAATTCAAGTGCAGCATGGTGTGACAGGTTCCTTCAAGGATCGTCCCCTTGCAGACTGGTTACAGAAGCACAACCCAAAGGAGGATGAATATGAAAAGGTAAAGAAAAGGAACAAGAGAAACAATGAAAGCCTTTGCCTGAGAGTCAAAACCACAGAATTACGTGCAGGAATTGTATCAATATGTTCTCTCTACATTTCGTAATTGTAGTAATTACAAAAAGCAAAATAGAGGCACTGTAATTTAGATTTGTTTATGTGTTTTCAGATGCATTTTTTGTTTCCTTAGAACAAATTGGATCAAAAAGAAGCTAGTTTTATTTTATTTGGCATTATAATGGTATTTTAAGTCTCTGAAAATGAGGAGCAATTTTAAGAATAAGTTTTCTCCTTTACAAATTATATTTTAAAATGTTTGGATGCAATGATTAGTCACACACATGATTTTAGCAAATGTATTCATTCTGTTAAGTTTATTTGCAGAAAGATTTGCAAATGAGAATGTCAGATACAACTGAATGTCCTCAACTTATTCCAGAAAGTGTCATATCATATGTTTTTATTTGCTTCACACATGCACACATGTAACCCCCCTTTCAACATTTAAGAAATCTTCCAAAACTTTCCCCACTGATTCTTTTCATAGCTATTCTAAATACATCTTCATCTTTCAGGCAGTGGAGAATTTCATTTACTCCTGTGCTGGGTGCTGTGTAGCCACTTATGTTTTGGGAATTTGTGACCGGCACAATGACAACATCATGCTCAAAACAACTGGACATATGTTCCACATTGACTTTGGAAGGTTTCTGGGTCATGCCCAGATGTTTGGCAACATCAAAAGGTGAGGGATCTTCTGAAACGCTGCTCAAAGACTCTGCATGGCTGCTTTCAAATTGTCAGTGGATTTTCTGAGAATGCATATTCATTCCCACAAATCACCATGCCTTTTATTATTTTTATTTTATTATTTATTTTTTACTGTATATCCCTACCATCTCACTTAACAATTCTGAGGGGCTTACATCAGGTTGTTCTAAAAATTATTATTATTATGGTTGGTCTCACAGTCAGCCAGAAGTTTAGACTGGGTTTTTAATACTTTATTTATTTATACTGTACTACTAAAACGCCCATATTGATTGTTTGTAACTTCAGTTGGCAAAACAGTGCATCATGGGGTAACAATTTTTGAATGAGCATACCTCAAATGGGTTAATTTACTGTCTACTTCAGCTTCATTGTGAAACTGACAAAGGATGAGAAAGGAAAGTGGGCACATTGGTTTTTCACATAAGAAATGCTTTTTCCAGCTGGATGGATTCCTGGAGCTACGCATGAATACATTCCTAGAACATTCTGTTCTTTACATTCTAAGGCTTATATTTATTTTATACATTCAATGCCATAAAGTAAGGGGTATACTGAGATTGTTATAGAATTCTTGAGTTGTGCAATCTCTTTGATCTGAACCAATAATTAAAGTAAAAAAAGGTTCTCATAAGCAAATGACGAACTTCGCAAATCTGATTCCGTAGGATGACAGAAGGCAGTCTAAAAATACCATGTCATTAACATGGAAATTACCATAGTTACACTTCAGAGAAAATACTGTTTGATATAAAAATGCAGCTCTTGGCATTTAAATCAGCCCAGAGCTTCTTTTTAAACATTTCCTGTAAAGGGATTCATTTGTAATGCAATACCTAAAATATTTCACTTAGCTGTCTCTCCATTATTTAGCAACAGAAGTGAGGCTAAAATTAATGTGAAAATAGTTTACACAAAATATTATGCTAATATCAACCCAATATAAAATTATGCTAATGTTATCCATAGAAATTCAAATTAAATAACGAAACTTAAGTTTTTTCAGTATGCTGCCTTAGTTGATACTGAAGAATTGGCTTAGCAGAAGTAGTGGCACACTGAAAATAATTTATATTTTATGTTAATTAAAACATTAAGTACATAATAAATAATTGGTTGCTTTTCCTTTCTGCATTTTAATATTTTTTACAATGCAGCCTTTTTCTTTCCATGTCTGTTGCCCTCAGGCAAGGCCTGCAGTTTTACTGGCATTAACCAAGAGTATAAAAAACATTAAAAGAATTCATCAAGAAATGGGAATGCTGGCAAAAGCTCATATTAATGACTTTGGAATGTTTTGCCATTTATATATTTATATCCTACTTTTATTATTTTTATAAATAATTCAAGGCAGCAAACATATCCAACGCACCTTCCTTCTCCTATTTTCCCTATAACAACCTCCCTCTGAAGTGAGTTGAGCTGAGAGAGTGACGGGCCCAAGATCACCAAGATGGCTGTCAGGCCTAAGGAGGGGACTGGAATTCAAGTCTCCTGACCTCTAGCTTGGTGCCTTAACCACACTAGATCAAACTGGACTAACAATTATTTATTAACAAATTAATGAATGGTCAAACATTTCCTGATATTTCTCTTTGTATTTGAGATATAAGCATCACATGATAACCAAAGCTCCTTCACCTCCTTCTAGATGCAACAGAACTAAATGTTATCACAATACAGTAACATGCAACAGAAAAAAAATCTGCATTCAATTTTCCACCGAAGAAGTTATTTCAATTTGACAAAATTAACTTTGATTCTAATGCAGCCTTAATTCCCAAATTCCTTTTCATTCTTTTTGTTATTTTTAATATAAAATGAGAAAGAAAAAAATGAAGGATAGATTCAATATTGTGTTGAAAGAGAAGAATACTATCGTATCTTTGTATGTGAAAACAATTATTAACAAAGAAAAAAGCATACAATACTGTAAAAGAATAACTGCAAATACTACTGTCCGTTTAATTGATGCCTATGTCTCTAAGCTATTACATAACAATAGAAAAAGGAAAATTAAATTCTAATATTGTTTTCTAAATAATATTTCAAAAGTTGATAAAATTCTTGCTTAAGTATAAGTTTGAGTTATAAGTAGGAGTTATTTTATTAATTTACTTGATGAATGAGTGTATTTAGGAATGAAAAAGTAGTAATCCTTGAAGTAACTACATTTAGCCACCTTGAGATATATACAGTAGATGTACCTTCTCTATAGGGACCGGGCTCCATTTGTCTTCACATCAGACATGGCTTATGTTATCAATGGTGGTGATAAACCCTCCAGTCGCTTTCATGATTTTGTGGATCTCTGCTGCCAAGCTTACAACCTGATCCGGAAGCATACTCATCTCTTCCTCAATCTTTTGGGACTGGTGAGAGAACATTTCCCCTCTCTATTGCTCATGCCCTTCAGTAACATTGCATCTGTCAGCTGATCATTCATGGTGAGCTTTGGAATTTTGCATGTTCTCCCTTTTTCAAGCTTTGAGCAAAGATCAAGACAGAAAGTGCATAATCTCATCTCCAATGATTATCCTGCCCAAATATTTCTTTTTTATTCCTGAAACCCCAAAGATTAAGGACTTGCTTTTTTATTTTTCTTTAGACTATATTTAGCATTTTTATCCAGCTTCCCAAGGACCTGGATTACTCAGATGTTGTTGTTTGATAGAGTTAAAGGTATTGTCATGAGATGTACGCTGTTCCAAGTAAAGCTATCTTTGGAACTGACTAATGGTGATTTTTTCAATGCCGTTGGTATTCGAATGGTGCTCCAATTATTCTGGGTTTGCACCCAAGGCACTGTTGAAAGGATTTGCCAGACATACCTAACAAAAATATCCCTTTGCTAAATCTGATTGATTTAGTTATTGATACTATATTTGCTTTCTTTTGTCATAGTCATTCTACTTTATTTGCAGGTCTCTATATTTTGTGATTTCTCTTGTTCTTTCTCTTCTACTCTGCTGTCTCTAGATGTTGCAGTGACAATTATCCAGATTTTTTTGTCATTCTTATCAACGATTCTAAAGTCTGGGGTATTGAGTGGCAGGTGCTTGTCTGTGAATTCTAAAGATGTTGAAGTCCTTAGTTTCTTCATTTTCTATTACTTTATTTATTTTGTGGTCCCATCATCTTGCTTTCAGGCAAATGGTATTTTTTTGCATATTGTTATTAACTATTATTAAAGAAAGGCTGGAAATTTCAAGGAGTGGATGTTCCATTTATAAAACTGGATTGCCCATCAGTCATATTTTCAGCAGTTGCACTTCTTCATTTTCCAATGTTATTGATTTATTTCTTTTGCACTCAGATGCTGTCCTGTGGTATTCCTGAACTCTCTGACCTTGAGGACTTAAAATACGTCTATGATGCACTTAGACCACAAGACTCTGAGGCAGATGCTACCACTTATTTTACCAGGTGAGAAGATACTAGTCTTAACACTAACAGGGAGTAAAAAAAGTAAGACCCCAAGTATCTGTGTCCCAAAATCTCTTTCACTAACACTGTTCTGGGATCTTTATCAAAATCATAGAGTAGCACAGTCAGCTTTATATCACTGTATAACTTAGAAGTTTCATCCTTTGATGCAGATTGATAGAGTCCAGCTTGGGCAGTGTAGCCACGAAACTCAACTTCTTCATTCACAACCTGGCCCAGATGAAGTTCACAACAACAGACTCCCGGCCAACACTGTCATTTGCCCCCCGTGTACACACAATCAAGACGTCTAGCCGTATCGTTGACATTTTTCTCTGCCGACATGAAAAGATCTTCAATCCCAGCAAAGGATATGTGAGTCCTTTTTATAGCCATTTTGTTAGGGGGCACTGCAGTAAACACAATGCTAGGGCAACTGCTCTAAAGCAAGGGATAGTGTATATCAAACACAGAAATATGTGGAATCTGCAGTTGAACCATATGAATTTTCATCTTTGATTTACAGATTTACATTCTGAAAGTGAAACGAGAGCACCCTTCTGAGGTCACATTCATTCAGCGCACATTTGAAGAGTTCCAGGAGCTGCACAACAAGCTACGCCTCATCTTCCCCTCTTCACACCTCCCAAGGTCAGTCCCCATTTTGCTTATAATCCTCATTTTTCCTTGATGCTGTACTCAGCACAAGGAATTAACTGCAATTTCCTGCAATTAACCAGGGAAACTGATTATGTAACGATGTACAATTCTCCATATGTTTTCCTCTGTGAAATGCCATTTTTGTAAAAAAAAAAAAAAAAAAGATCAAAATCTGGGAATGAAGTGATGAGGCAATCGGTCTGTTTTCAGGAAGCACATTATCATTATTATTATCCTATCTTCTGGGGTACATAGGAGTGAGAAAAGCTGAAATTATTTCTATTCAGGAAATAGATAACAGTAGATGGATTTATGTATATGACCATAAATGCCTATTTTGAGCCTATGTTAAAAAATAACCTAAGAAATGCCTTGTGAGGCCAAAAAGTATTTGATTCTTGCATGTTTGTGAGGATGGTTCCTTCTTAATAGCATACAGTAGTGTTGCAAGCAATCCTAACGTAATACCCTTCTTTTCATAGTTTTTTTTTTCTGGGACACACCATTTTCTGAACTTTTTTACTCCTTCTGGCTGAAAATATGGAGAGAAATCAAAATTTGGCATTCTCATCTTTTTAACATGAAGCAATTCCCTTTCATGTACAAGGCCTTTAAGGAGTAACCAGATCTGTAAACCCTTCTGCTTCAGAAATTTTCTTGATGGTTGGGGGGTCACTGCTTAAAGGTCTCTTTCTCCCCCATCCAATCCAATTTCCCAGCTTCCCTAGCAGGTTTATAATTGGACGATCGCGAGGAGAGGCAGCGGCTGAGAGGAGGAAAGAGGAATTGAATGGCTACATCTGGCATCTAATTCATGCAGCTCCAGAGGTTGCTGAGGTAATGTGGATGAATGGAGATCATACTAGCAAGACTAAGGAGAATCTGTAAGCAAAGGCTTCAATATATAATAGCTCTTCCTGAGTTATTCTGCAGTTTATCCCAGGATTCTTGTCTAAACAGTTTTGCCTGATTATTCTGCTGAAAATTTAAATAGCTTTTCTCTTTATTGCCAAGTTGTAACTCCTGAAATTATTTTAGACTGTTATTACTGAAGTATGCTGGGCCCTAGGATGCATCAAGAGTGCCCTGATGTTTGATATTCTGCTAGGCTATTTGCATTGCAGAAGAGGAAGACAAGGCTAATATCTCTCACCCTCACTCATGTGGTCTACATATTTAGCAGTGTGAATTGAGGGTGTGTTCCTCACTGCTAGGTTAATAAGATTGGTGATAAGAAAAATGCCAAAAATCTCAGGTTACGTATATTAGCTGAATCTTAACTCTTGGCAATGTTGGAGTGGGGGCAGAAATAAATGACACATTATTTGCAGAATAAGACTATTGTCTCTAACGTCAAGATTTTCTTTCAGTGTGACCTGGTATACACATTTTTCCACCCTCTTCCAAGGGACGAAATTGCTGCAGGCACCAATCCAGCACCAAAGCCTGCAAGTAAATATCAGTATTATACAAGTGGTAAGAGTTATCCGCTTCAATATTCCTTTTTGGCTGATAGCTGGTCCTCAGTAGAATACATAAAATAAGGATATTTTCATGCAGCCTATCTTGGGATAAAGTCCATCATGCATTCCTTTGGAGGAAGAAAACAATATTGGTTATTTGACAGCAGAGCTTTTTTTCTCATAGAACGCCCAGAACGGAGTTCCAGCACCTTTTTTGGATGGAACCTTGTAGGGTAGGCAAGGCGGGTTGTATGAAGTGTGTGAGTTCCGGCACCTTTTTTTTTGTTTTGTTTTTTACAAAAAAAGCCCTGTTTGACAGAATTTACTATTTTTTCCTAAGAATTTATTCAGAGATGGCTATATATTTTTCAGGATCTGAACTATACTTATAATAATCAACAAGAGGCAATACACAAGCAATTGTATTATATTTGGAACTAATCAGATGTACTAGGCACATATATATTTATGGAGTTTAAATCCTCTCCTGGAAATTGCATTTATGAATCTTTGTTATTTAGATAACTGGGTACAAGTCATAATCTTTAAGAGCTGTCCTAGTCCTGGTATTGCAGGAAGAGATATATTGTGCCCTGATATGGAGAGTCGATATGTAGAATGTTATATACAATATAGCTTCATTTTGCAAGCTGTAACCACTTAACAACAACACCTAACAATAGTAATTGGGATGAAAATTTCCATTGCTAAGCATTGGAAAGCTAAGCAGTTATAAAGCACAATCTCATGTGATTTTACCTCTTCAAGATGAAAATTGCAACACACTATTGTTAAGCAGTCTCACAGTTGTTAAACTCAACATCATGTGGTCGCCATTTATGACCTATTGGCTTCTTCATTGGCTATGCTTATAGGAAGTTGCCAAAGAAGGTTGCAAATGGTGTTCACGTGATCAAGGGATGCTGTGACTTTGTAATTGTGAGTCAGGTGCCCAGTACCTAGATCACAATCTTGTAACTGCAGGATGTTGCAACTGATGTAAGACAATGATCTGTTTTAAATATTCATTCAGACATAACTCTGAATAGTTGCTAAACGAGTGGTCATTAAATAAGGACCACTTGTATATTCTATGAAGTGTTTTTATTTCTATTGTCCATCAGACAGCAGTACACAACCAATTTCACTGTGTTTGGAACTCATCTGATATACATAACTACAGATCTTATGGGCTTCAATTCCATGATGATGATGTTATCCATTCAGTTGTGTCTGATTCTTGGTGATTTTATGGCCCAAGTCTTTCCACATCTTCCAATCTTGCACTATTTCTTTGTCAATCCTATAAAGGAGGGATCCTCAATCCCTGGGTCATGGCCCATTAGGAACAGGCTGCACAAGTGAGCAAAGCTTCATCTGCACATGAACAGGATCTAAGTAGCACATGAAACCATGCCCCTGCCCCCGGTCCGTGGGAATTTTTTTTCCCACAGAACTGGTCCCGGTGCCTAAAACATTGGAGGCAGCTGCTATAGAGAACCCTTTGGACTTTTAACAAACATATGATTTCTTATATTGACTCAAGCAATTCAAATGAAAACTGGTGTATCAGTTAAAATGGAGCAACATAAAGGATATTGTGTTACATTGATTTTGTATTAATATTCTTTATAGTTTAGATTTTTAAAAGAAGATTTTCAAAATATGACACAGAAATATTTTTTAGAAAAAGTACAAACATTTCTGTTCTTTGTAGCTTCTCCTATCTCTGCTACTAAGTGAAATATAATTTTATTTCATATTCCTTTTTCTTAGATGCTGTATGGTCCCAACCAATTGGAAAAGTTGGTGGAGAGGTGAAGTTATCAATCTCTTATAAGAACAACAAGCTCTTTATAATGGTGATGCATATCCGTGGCCTCGTAAGTGCTTAACAGTAGCTACTCTAATGGTGCTTCTAACCAATTTTCTGTGAAATATGCACATTTATGCAGCCCAAAGATCTGATTAATCTAATTGACTTAATTTCTGTCTTTTAGCAACCTATTCAGGATGGCAGTGATCCTGATCCTTATGTTAAGATTTATCTTCTGCCCGATCCTCAGAAAACCACCAAGAGGAAAACCAAAGTTGCTCGAAAAACTTGCAATCCAACTTATAATGAAATGGTATTTGCTTCTTCACCTTGTGTTAATGAAGTAGGCCTTGCATAGATTCAGAAATCCCAAGTACAGGCAAAGTTTGAGCAGATAAAGTGGTCAGCTAACAGATTCTGAAAGCATTGTAGAATCTGAAAAGAGATTAATTTACTTTTTGAGCTCACTGCTTGCCTCATTTTGGAGATTTAACATTTAGAGAGTGGATTCAATTCCAAAACCTTTGCTGAAACTGTCAATTTGCTTAGGCTAGAATATAGACCATACAGCTACTTTTTCATCACCATAGTAACTGCAAACAGTTGCTAAATGAGGTACTTGCTAAATGAGGATTACCTGTATTCTAGGGAAAAGTTACTGTAGATATGAGAAGGCTAATGTTCTGCAACTTTTGATATCTTCCAGCTTGTCTATGATGGAATTCCTAAAGGGGATCTACACCAGCGGGAGCTGCATCTGAGTGTCCTGAGTGAAGAGGGCTTTTGGGAGAACATCCTCCTAGGCGAGGTTATAATCAGACTACGGGATTTAGATCTAACACAGGAGAAGATGGGTTGGTTTGAACTGGGCTCTAGGAGTCATGGGATCATGTGAGAAGCAGGAAGGCAGCCTTAGCGTCTTTGGAACTACTTTGGCCCATGGAAGTCCCTGGGAACTAGTGCATGTTCCAGGAGTTGTATCCTGGTATAGAACTCAAAGGATTTAATTTTCTGCGAATAAGAAGATGGACATTTTGTTTCTGTGCAAATGAAGAGTTAATTTCCTGTGGAGAGTGAACATGTTGGAGTTAATGATAGGGAATCCTATGACTTGAAATGGCTGCTGTAAACTTTTATCTTTGAATACTTTACCTTGTGTCAAGGGAGCAATGACTTAACTGAGGGGGAGGGTTTAAATATTAAAGACTTCCCCCTCCCCTTTGAGATATTTTTTAATTTTTTTAAAATAATTTGAGTCCAGATGTGAATTGTAGGATGGAATCTAGATGGAAAGAATCTTTGCAGAGTAATGAATGTTATAAATTAAGTTCTTATTGGACTTTCATATGGTATTTTTTATTTTAAAGGAACATTTGCATAAGTATGCGTGATGGGTTGGGAGATATGTGGATTCAGTATGAATGGAAGATTTAAACCCTTATCTCTGGGACAGGAGCTAGTGTGCTCTAACACAAGCCATCATGGAGACATTGCTTCCAAAGGAGAGCAGTAGTACTTGCACAAGCGTAGAACTTACATTTTTGATTTCTTATGATATGTAATCTGAAAAGCATGCTCTCCTGGATAAACATCTGGACTCCTTTGGAGAAGGCAATTCTATTGTTCTTGATTGCAACCATGCAGAAACAAAGGCCTTGACCTTAATGTGTCTAAAAGCAATGTCTTATTTTTCAATCTTAGCTTTTCTAAATTGTCTCTTACATCTATGGTGTTTGAGTCAGTCTGAAGAGATTGGATGGGATAATTTGTGCTAAGTCTTAGAAGAGTTTTTCATTTACACAAGCAAGGGAGTCATTGATTTCCTCTTTCATAATCACCAGTGTCAAAGAACTGATTCTTTAGATTAGCCAATGATCCCTTTACTGATCAATTGGTAAAATGTGGTCATTTATTTTCAGGCTACTTACTTGAAATAAGTAACGTATTAATGAGTCTTTAAAGCTTTTATTCATGACAGGCTTTTCTTCCAACATGGCAAGTGAGAGGCAAAGTGGCTGGAACTTCTGAAAGTATTTGTGTTTATGACATTACTGTAACAACCCTTTAAAGCTGTTGACAGTGGCAAATAGTATTGTTGCCCTTTCTCCGAGAAGTAAAAGTTTATAGAAAATTATGTGGGGTTAGGGAAATTATCAACTATGAAAACTTTTTTCTCTTAAGAATAGATAATTGCTGTTGTTTTTTTTATTTTTTATTATTAATATTTTTAAAAGAGACAAGAGTTTTTCCACACCACAAGCACTTCCACATCACTACCTTGCCTCAATGCCCATCATCTCTAGCTGAACTGTTCACAGTGGAAACTCACAAAAACATTGCCATGTTTCTCAGGATATGAAAATGTGAACTCAAAAGTTTTTTTAAAAAATAGTTATTCATGCCAACTTCTGTTTAGAGGAAAAAGCAAACTTGTGGGGAAAATCATTTTTTCACTTTTGAGCTGAAAGTTTCTTTTTACTTTGTGTAATGATGTAACTGGATTTCAAAGAGACAATTACATGAGTGAGTTTGCGGCATGACCTTTGATTATATCTTCCATGCTATAGGAAATGAGATAAAGATGGCATCTTATGAATACCTGTGTCTTTCTACGTTGTAAAATGGTGACATTGGAAATAAATAAAGGAATTGGAATGCAATAGAGACTGTAGTATATCCATTTTAATAGCAAAAGGATTGAAAATATATATGCCTTTTCAAATAAATATGTCATCAACACAAAATATTGTAAGATTTTCTCCAATGCACTGTAAAAATGGTTGAACTATAGCACATTCTGACTTGTTAGAAAAGTAAGGACAGAAAATGAATAGCTCACTCCCAACTATTGTTTCCCACCTTAGATACATTTAGTGAAAACTGGTAATACTTTAAAATTTCATGAAGAATTATTCTCATTCATAGTATTCTCTTGCATAAAATGGAAGCTAAACTCTTGGAATAGTTCTTCATGAAAACAGAATACAATTTTCCTTGAAAAAGAGCTTTCCATATAAATAGAATCAACAAAAAAAAAATACTCAGAGCAGATGTCTGTAGTGTTTATGATTCTGTTTTTGATTCTCTGGTTACTGATGGCTCAAGAAATGACAAGAAAGGATTTCACATGAATTCCTTGGTCATTTCACTTCCATTTTTCCCTAGTTTCAATACTGGAAAAGAGCTATGCCTTTGGATCAACACATTCTTATATTCTACCCACAGCTGTGCTAGGTCTGTGTGATGTAAGAAGCCTGCCTCTCTGAAGCTATATTAATGAAACAGTTGAATCATACCTTCTTATATTATTTTTTTCTGAAGAGATGCACAAGGGACATTGATAATACCTCACATTATGATGAAAGCCATGTTCAACATTATTTGATCAAGATTCTAGAATATACAGGGAAGTTTGCAGTTGCAGCCTGAAAAAAAGGCAAGTAGAACAGGTTCGCTAATCTCCCTATGTTCTAAGATAGTTTAAGGATAGTTTGCAATAGAGTATTCTTATATTTGCCATTCCAAATTGCTCCCAATTTACTTAGCCATTTTATCTTCTTTGAATAAGATTAAATGATGTGTTTCACATTTTAATACTGTTTTGATATTATTGTACTATTATTCTGATAGGTGACCATGATAAAGACAAACCGACATATGCTGCTGGAGGCCACTTGCCCATTCACAAAAAGATTTTTACACAAGTTACAAAGTAATATAGTAGTTTATTGAAATGCTGCCTGCCTCTGCCTCTATCTTGTCTGAAATATATTGCCTTTTATCCCAAATTGTATTTTTCTCTTCCTGGACATGTGGGCATAAGAATAAAACACTGAGCTGCATGTGACTAGCAATTTATTTGCTAAAATTCTGGAGAAGTAGATAATGCTGGAAGCTAGTATTTAGCTTCACAATATGCCAAAATCCTTTTTTAATTCAAACAATTTCTTTTTAATGAAGTCAGGTAAGGCAAGGAGCATGGCCTGCATAAAGATAAGGTAATCCCAGCCACATGTTAGGGAAGCTGGAGTCAGAATGACAGAAGATAGCTATGAATGCTGGTTCTCAGACTGATAGGAGTTTTAATTCCTATTTCTCAAACTGTTAAATTGGGTGCCATCTACTTCTTCTCTATAAAACAGACTAGCTACCTTCCCATGAACCATTTGCAGTGTATGCTATTATTAGAAATCTAACAACAGTTAAAAGTACTCTGGAAAACATAACTTAACAAATTGCCTTTTCCAAGTTTATCAACCTTGGCAGCTTTAAGATGGGTGGACTTCAACTCCCAGAATTCCCCAGCCAGCAACCCTGGCCTATTCTTGTATTGGAGAAGGATACTCTGCTTTCAAACACTATATTCCAGTGGGTATATTAATAGCTGAAAACACAGCATCCCAAACACCAACTCAAAAGAACAAAAAGCACATTTTTTCTATTTTTAACAATGAACATCTGACTGCCGTTTGGAGATATTTCAGTAGTAGTTATATCTTTATCAGTGCAATTTATACATTTTTACAAGTTACAAGATCCAAATTAAAAGCTTGTTTGCTTATATTGTAGAAATCTGGGATGATTTTTATGACTGACAGAAGGCTCATCTAAGCTTGACTATGTGTTAATTTAATTACCTAGCAACATAATAACATCTATAGCGTTGATTGCATGGCTATTGCAACAGTATTATAACATAGGAAAATAAACACTGGTAAGAATGAGTACTTCCAATGGCCCTCTTGGCCATTATATAATTTTCCATGGGTCTGAGGTTCATACCAGGCTTTATGCGGCATGATAGCATCTGCACTCCAAAAATGAGCAGGGTTAAGATTCGTCTGGGGCCATATTAAAGCTTTTAAGTGGTAAAATAGATGTTGTAGATCATTTTGTCCCTTAAACTACCTCTAAACTCCAAGAACCGCACAGAAGGGATACTAATAGATCACACTTTTTACCTCCCTATGCACTTGATTTAATTAATAGATTTCTGTTTGGGGAAAAGAAAGAGATTTAAACATTTGCTTGGAAGCTGCAGTTATTGAATTTTTGCTTGTTTAAGGTAAGTCCCTAGTCTCTAAGAGGGAAAAAAGGGTCAATGGTGTTCTTGTTATTTGACATGTTTGTAATTAATCTACATAACAGAAATATGTTTTCTTAAGCATACCCTGCAAATTCCACAAGTTGATGTTCAATGAATGAACATGTTAATCAGAACAATGAGGATGTCTCTAATTAAAATAATTGAAAGAAATTTCCTAATTATCTAGTGAGGACTAAATCACAAAACATAGCTTATAAAATTGAATAAAAGATTTTACCCTATTATATCCAGGCTTTTAATATGTCTTTTTAAATTGTTGAACTGGTAATGTATACACTGTGTATCTGTGTATCAATATCTGAATATATCATTCTTTGAAATGCTAACTCATATCTCGTACCTTTAGTGAATAGTGAAAATCAAAAGTGACTTGACAAAGCGTATCAGTCTTGCATAAATGCAGCAAAAGAATTTAATCCAACAAGAAAAAATATGTGCATTCTTTGATAAGATAAACTGCCAAATAGTCTCTTAAAGAAAGGCAGATATAATTAATCAAGTCACAGATCTAAAGAAAGTTTTAAAGAAAAGCCAAGTTTCACACCTATTAGTATCTTTTTTGATAAGATGGAAGGTGTATTACAACTATCTCCTTTAATAAGGAGTTTTAATCCATCAACTAAATTCTGAGATTAAAAAGCATGTAATCAGAGCTTATCTAATCAGCACTATCATTTAACATACTTAACAAATGACAACATATTTTGTGGAAATGGCTGCTTATTTTTTAAATATTTCCTAAATTTTTATTATGTGGGTCTTATTGTATATTCAGAACAAGTTAATGGGGTTTTTTCTAACCTTATGTTTTAAAATTGTAACAAAGTAATCTAGACATAGTAGTGGTTAAGGCATCAGGCTTGAAAATGGAAGAGCATGAATTCTAGTTTGGCCTTAGGCTTGGAGCCAGTTACGTGACCTTGGGCTGGTCATTCCTCTCAGGCAATGGCAGATGACTTCTGAGATCTTGGTAAGACCATACTTGGAATACTGCATCCAGTTTTGGTCACCAAAACTGTAAAAAAGATGCTGAGACTCTAGAAAGAATACAGAGAAGAGCAACAAAGATGATTAGGGGACAGGAGGCTAAAACATATAAGGAAAG